AAAAAGACGGAGAAATATTAGCCAGTGTGAACCAGAGAGGGCACGTTCCAGGAAACAGAAGAGGACAGAACAACAGCAGAGGAGTATCCGGAGACTGACTGACACAGGAAAGCAACGGACACAACGGAGTGGTGTTGCAGTGACTGATACCCCAGTGGCATTCAGCCGGTGGCGATCTGAACTCCACCAGCAACAAGGTGGGAAGGGACCAAGAGCCCCGGAGGTGATTTGACCGGGAGCAGAAACAGAGCAGCAGATCTCAGATGGGCAGTGTGGGAACAGGGTGGATTTCACAGCCCAGTCCACCTCCTAGCATCTAATCAGGCACCATTTTGTTTAAGGAGGCAGGGACTGTGGGGCAGGACTGCACTTGCATGGAGGAGCTGGGAGTGAACTCAGTTCCGGCTCAGTGAACTGCAACAATGTGGCATTCTACAGGTTCCACCCAAGACAGATCCAGGTAGCTCTCAGACCTGATGGCCAGCAGATCAAGAACTCTAGTAGTGGCACATCAGGTGCCATTTCTTACAGTGTGACAAAGAATTTAAGACGGCAGGGGACAACAGTGAGCTCCGCATATGCTGAGCTTGGTGAGAACTCACCGAGCTCATTGCATTGCACTTCTCCCACATGAAAATAATACTGACTATGGCATTGTACAAGTCAAAATAGGTCCGTGTGGCCCTCAGACCTGACGGCCAACAGGTTCTAGCCAAATCACCACCACCAACAACCTAGCTATGTAGGACACCTGGTATCTTCCTCATCCTGGGATCTGCTCCAACCGGAAGTGGAAGAAAGGTTGTACAGACAACGGTGCAGCCTCAGCATGGTGTCACAGGAGGTGCAGACTGGTGAGCCAGGAGCTGGGGCTACAGAGACCATGGTGGAAAACTAACATAAGAACCCAGACCCAGAACTTGCTGGAGGGAGTGGCACAAGTGACTGCAAGCAGAGTTGTGTACCAACTGCAGTAAGTAAAATCGAGCTGTAGACCTGTGGGTGACACAGCTTAGAAACCTGCCCCAAGGAGAAGAATCTGATAACCAGAAGTACAATGACCAAGAGCAAAAGAAGAGACAGAAGCACAATGAATATTACTGAAGACGCCCCTACTAAGGAGCAAAACCCTTCGCCAAACTCAGAGTTAACTGAGGAAGACATCGAGAAAATTGGGAATACAGAATTCAAAACACTTACTACAAACTTCTTATCAGGGCCTGGCAGTATGGCCTAGCGGCTAAAGCCCTTGCCTTGAACGTGCCGGGATCTCATATGGGTGCCGGTTCTAATCCTGGTGACCCCACTTCTCATCCAGCTCCCTGCTTGTGGTCTGGGAAACCAGTCAAGGATGGCCCAAAGCCTTGGGAACCTGTACCTGCATGGGAGACCTGGAGGAAATTTCTGGCTCCTGGCTTCGGATTGGCGCAGCACTGGCCATTGCGGTCACTTGGGGAGTGAATCAGCGGACAAAAGATCTTCCTCTCTGTCTCTCCTCCTCTCTGTATATCTGACTTAGCAGTTAAAAAAAAAAAAAAAAAAAAAGCTAGTGTAATGCCTATTGGCTAATCCTCAGCCTTCAAGTGCCTGAATCCCATGTGTGGCAGTTCATGTCCTGGCTGCTCCGTTTCCCACCAGATCCCTGCTTGTGACCTGGAAAAGCAGCAGAGGATGGCCCGAAGCTTTAGTCTCCCATGTGGAAGACCTGGAAGAAGCTCCTGGCTCCTGGCTTCAGCTCAGCTCTGACTGTGGCAGCCATTTGGGGAGTGAACCAGGATCTGGCACAGTAGCCTAGTGGCTAAAGTCTTCTCCTTCTGTGTGCTGGGATCCCGTATGGATGCTGGTTTGTGTCCTGATTGCTCTGCTTTTCTTCCAGCTCCCTTCCTGTGACCTGGAAAAGCAGTGGAGGATGGTCGAGGATTTTGGAACCCTGTACCCATGTGGGAGATCTGGAAGATGAAGCTCCTGGCTCCTGCCTACAGATTGGCTCAGCTCCAGCCATTGCAACCACTTGGGGAGTGAACCAGTGGATGGAAGATCTTTTTTTGTTTCTCCTTCTCTCTCTGTAAGTCTGACATTCCTATAAAAAATGACCCTGCATCCATATGGTAGACAGAGAGGAAGTTCCTGGTTTTGGATTGGCTCAACTCTAGCCTTTACAGCCATTTGAGAAGTGAATCAGTGAATGGAAGATCTTTTTCTTGGTCTCTCCTTCTCCCTGTAATGCACCTTTCAAAAAAAATTAAATCTTGGATCAGGTGCGGTAGCCTAGTGGCTAAAGTAAGTCCTCACCTTGCATGTGTCAGGATCCCATATGGGCACTGGTTCTAATCCTGGCAGCTCTACTTCCCATCCAGCTCCCTGCCTGTAGACTGGGAAAGCAGTCAAAGATGGGCCAAAGCCTTGAGACCCTGCACCCGTATGAGAGACCCAAAGAGGCTCCTTGCTCCTGAATTCCGATTGGCTCAACTCCGGCTGTTGCGGTCACTTGGGGAGTGAATCAATGGATGGAAGATCTTCCTCTCTGTCTTTCTTCTTTTCTGTATATCTGACTTTCCAATAAAAATAAACATTTCTTTAAAGATAGATAGATAGGTTCTGGCAGCGTGGCCTAGCGGCTAAAGTCTTCGCCTTGAACGCCTCGGGATCCCTTGTGGGTGCCGGTTCTAATCCCGTCATCCCTGCTTCCCATCCTGCTCCCTGCTTGTGGCCTGGGAAAGCAGTTGAGGACAGCCCAAAGCTTTGGGACCCTGCACCCCCGTGTGGGATACCCGGAAGAGGTTCCCGGCTTTCCATCGGTGCAGCACCGGCCGTTGCACTCACTTGGGGAGTGAATCATCAGATGGAAGATCTTCCTCTCTGTCTCTCCTCCTCTCTGTATATCTTACTTTGTAATAAAAATGAATAAATCTTAAAAAAAAGATAGATAGATAGATAAAGTCTTACTTGGTCCTGCGCTGTAGCCTAGCAGCTAAAGTCCTGGCCTTGTATACACTGGGATCTCATGGGCACCAGTTGGTGTCCCAGTAGCCCCACTTCCCATCCAGCTCCCTGCTTCTGGCCTGAGAAAGCAATGGAAGATGGCCCAAAGCCTTGGAATCCTGCACCCACGTGGGATACCCGGAGGGATACCTGGCTTCAGATCGGCTCAGCTCTAGCTGTTGTGGCCACTTGGAGAGCAAATCATTGGACGAAAGATCTTCTCTGACTTTCCAATAAATCATAAATAAATAAATAAGCAGAATCTTAGAAAACAGTAATAAAAAATAAAATGGAGTGATGAGGTAAGAGGGAGACCTTCAACATGCCACCTCATTTTCCAAATGCCTGCCGTAGCCAGGGCTGGGCGAGGGCAGGCCAGAAGCGGCGGCAGGAACGTCCTCCCAGTTTCCTCCACGGCTAGCAGGGACCGAAGCACTCGGGTCCTCATCTGTGGCCTCCCGAGGGACCGACACGGGAGAGAGCCAGCTCTCTGATGGGGGAGGCAGGTGTTCTGGGCAGCCGCCCATCTGGGCCGCAGTCCCTGCTCCTGTGTGCCACGTTAAAGCCCACGTTTTCTCACCTGCTTCCTGAAGACTGCATGAGGTTTAAGGGCGCAGTGCCTGTGTCCACAGCCCCGGGGGACAGTGAGCATGTGGTCACCGTGGCTCCCCCCTGGTGGCCTTGTGTCACCTGGTGGGTTATCAGTCCCAAGTCACTCCCAGAACTCCACAGCTGGGTGGCTCCCCCCACCCCCCAAAGATTTGTATCTCTGCTTCCCGAGATACAGAGTCAGAGGAAGAGACAGAGAGAGGTCTTCCATGCACTGGTTCACCTGCAGCCCAGTGACAAGGGTCATGACCGGGCCAGATGGAAGCCAGAACCAGTAAGTGTTTCCGGATCTGCCACCTTGGGTGCAGAGACCCAAGCACTTGGGTCAGCTCTGATGCTTTCCTGGGTGTATGAGCAGGGAGCTGGATCGGAAGTGGAGTAGCTGGGACTCGAACCAGCATCCATATGGGATGCCATGCCGGTACTGTGTGGCTGCCTTCTTTGCCACAGTGTTATTAAATGGAAGAGGCCCCTCTCTCCTACCAGGCAGGTGTGCCTGGGATGCCAGAGGTCCCTTCCTTCACAGAGCAGTGTGGAAGGACACGGATAGAAAAATTCCCTATTAGGGGCTGGTATGGTGGCTCAACAAGCTCATGTACCTGCAAACATCGGCATCCCGTATGGGAGCAGGTTCATGTTCTGGCTACTCCACTTCCCATCCAGTTTCCTGTTCATGGACTGGGAAAGCAGCAGAGGATGGCCCAAGCCTTTGGGACCTTGCATCCACGTGGGAGACCTAGAAGAAACTCCGGGCTCCTGGCTTCAGATCAGCTCAGCTCCGGCCATTGTGGCCATTTGGGGAGTGAACCAGCAGATAGATCCTTCCGTGTCTTTTCTTCTCTTCGGAAATTCGATATCTCTGTCTCTCTCTCTCTTTCTCTCTGCTGACTACCGGGCCTCTTCTCCTGGACCCGGAGTCCTGCTGTGTCCCCAGTATTCCCCAGTTCGGGCACCAAGCGGGCACTTAAGTACAAGGCGGTAACTACCCAAGGAGCCCCCTCCCGCCCCTGAGCACGGGACGCGGAGTGTCCCCCGCAGGGTGAAAGCAGCCCCACTCGCCCGGGGCGCAGGAGCGCTGCCTCTGACTCTCCAGCCACCTCCCACCAACAGGACACTCTCTTAGCAGCCGCCCCAGCTGTCCCGAGCGGTGGGCATCGCCCTGCTTCTCCAGCTGCTGGTCTCCCGGTGCGGGCAGTGCCAGGCTCCACCCTCCCTGCCCGCGATGAACACCTGGCGGCTGGGCGTGCCTCAGTTTCCCAGTCGCAGGGCGGTCCTCCACCCCCGCTCCTCCCCCTTTTCCTCTTCCTCTTCGGGGCTTCGGAGACCTCGCCGCGAGCACTCCCGGAACTGAAAGCGGGGGCCGGACCGTCGGGGGCGCGGGCCACGTCAGCGGGGCGGCGGGGCGGCGGGTCGGTGCGGGAGCCGGGCTCGGCCGGCGCCATGCAGCGGGGCGCGCTGCTGGCCGGCGCCCTGGCCGCCTACGCCGCGTACCTAGTGCTTGGCGCGCTGCTGGTGGCGCGGCTGGAGGGGCCGCAAGAAGCGCGGCTCCGCGCCGAGCTGGGGACACTGCGGGAGCAGCTGCTGCGCCGCAGCCCCTGCGTGGCGGCGCCCGCCCTGGACGCCTTCGTGGAGCGAGTGCTGGCGGCCGGCCGGCTGGGGCGCACGGTGTTCACCAACGCTTCGGGGGTCAACGCCTCGGACCCCTCCTGGGACTTTGCCTCGGCCCTCTTCTTCGCCAGCACGCTGGTCACCACCGTGGGTACGTGAGCCGTCCCCTGCCGCCAGGCCAGCGACCATCGGGGCCCTAGGGACCGCTCTTGATACACCCTGATACCATTACCCTCTGGGCTGTCATCCCCTTTCAGATCCTCTGGGGAGGGTGGAGCCCGCAGGACTGGGCCCCTGGGCAGGGAAAGCCCCTGGTCCCCTTGGGACTAGAGTAGGGCAAGATGTATCTGGCAAGGACCTGGGGCCCTCTTCTGTGCCTAGGACTGTCTCCAGAGACCCCTCACCTGTGGTCCTCTGACCCCTGGTGCTGGACCTCAGCTGCGCGGGGGGCTTCTGCACTTGTGTCCCGGCCACACCAATCATCCCTCTACCATGTCCCCTGGCCTGCTGGTATCTGTCCCTTAGGGCTACCACTTGGGAACCCCACCCAGCCTCCAGCTGGCCTTGGGGGGTCCCCCCACCAAGACCCAGCATCTCCGGCCTCAGCTGCTGTCATTGTAGACCTTGTTTGGAGAGGAACCCCCCTCCCAGCACGACCTGGGAGAACCCCATCTGAGACCTCCCCCTCATCTCTGGCCTGAGCCGCCCCCAACACGTAGCCCTCCCCAAAATCCCATCCGCTCTGGATGTCTCTGTACTGAGGAAACCTGGGAGGGGGTAGTTCTTGTCAGCAGGCATTCTCCCTCCCTCTGGGCTTGGGTGGGGGTCCCAGTTCTCCAGCTTAACGGGGTGTATGTGAAGGGGACCCCCGTGGCCCGAGCTAGAGCACACTCCTTCCCATCTGCCTGGAGCTGCCAGCCAGGCCTGGTACCCCCTAGTCCCTAAGCAATCTCCTCTCCAGCTAAAACGTGTCCTAAATCAAAGACACCCCCTGGGATTTGGTTGAAGCCAGACTCCCCAGCTGGGACTCTCTGGATCCTGGTACCCCACCTGTGGCAGAGCTGCAACGCCTGGGACCGCCTGGCAGGAACCCTGCGTGAGCTGCCTGAGTGGTCCTTGAGAGTGTTTCATCCTCCAACACGTGTGTACGCGACACACACACACACACACACACACACACTCTCTCTCTCTTCTCCCAATCCCATTTGTGGTCCAGAAGCTACCCCCTCAGATGCCTGTCCCTCCTTCCTGTGAACTTAAGACCCCCTGGCCCCAAATCAGGGGCTGGAACACTGGTCCTTTAAGATCCTGACTGCTGGGAGCCCCAAATCTGAACCCCAGGGCCCAGGTGGTGCCTGTCCAATCCTGTCCAAGTCCCTGTGGCTCTCCTGCCTGCAGTCCCTCATCCGGCCACAAATGATCTCTTGGTCTCGTTCAGGATTTGGAACTGGGCAGAGACTGGGCCAGGGCCAGTCCTGACCTCTTTAAGTCCCCTGGTGGTGGGGCCCGCGGCAGTGGGGAGCCTCACTGTGTAGGCTGGCTGCCATGGTCACTGGCAGCCCTGTCTGATAATTAGCCGGCCTCCCCTTGAGCTTGCTCTTCCCCACACTGCTTGGGCTTGCTGGACCTGCTTTTGGACTTCTAAAGAGGCTTCTGGGCCGCTCTGGGCCGCAAGCCCCGCCCCCTCCACCTCCACCCTCTGCTCTCCTTCTCCTCTCACGTCCTAGCTTCTGAGGAGTCACCACTGGCACGGCAGGTGAGAGAAAGCTGGCACAAGGCAGGCCCTGGCTGCTTAGTGTCCTTGTTTGGCCACTGTCAGTCTCTTGCCCTCTACCTGCCTCCTCTGTCATGTGTGAAATGGGTGTGATCTCACTGCCTACTGCACAGCATTGCTCATAGCCGGAGGGAGGGTGCAGCACTTGCTGGCTTTAGCTCATTTCCCCAACAGAAAGACTTGGGACGTAGGTCCCACGATTGGCTCTTAATTATTTTTTCTTAATATTTATTTGGAAGACGAAGTTACAGAGAGGGAGATAGATCTTCCATTCATTAATTCACTCCTTCACATGGCCGCAGCAGCCAAGGCTGGGCCGGGCTAGGCCAAGGACTGGAGCTCTGTCAGATCACCCATGTGGATGGCAGGGGTCCGGGCACTGGGACCACCTCTTGTATGGAATGGGCTCACCGTGGCAGCTTATCCCTTCCCCAAAAGACACGCCCTGGCCCTACTGTTTAATCAGTGGAAACCGAGGCCCAGAAAAGTTACACAGCTTATCCAAGGTCACACAGCCAAGGAGGTGTCGAGTGGAAGTTTAAGTGAAAGCCATGAGGCCCCACAGTCCATGGCCTCAGCCGGTAAGGCTGATGTGTATGTTGTCAGAGAAGAATTATCGTGATGTCTGTTAAAAGTCGAACGTTATTGTCATAGAGGAGAGAGGCAGACATCGGACTTGACTAGGACCACAGCAAAGGCAGCCAGGGGCCCCGCGGTGGACAAGCACAGGAGGAGATTCCAGGGCAGCGAGCCAAGGACTCAGATATCGAGGGGAGTCCTCGTATTGTTACTGGAAATAAAGCTGAGGGGCACCCCCAAACTGTTGGAATGGCTTTCAGAACTGCTACTAGCCACAGTGTCCTTGTCTTGGAGGCCCACGTCTTCCCACTGCCCCGTTTCAAGAGTTAAGCATTTGCCTGAAGGACAGTTACAGAGAAGGGAGGGGTCTTCCCTCTACAGATTATTCATTCCCCAAATGGCTGCAACAGCTGGAGTTGGGGTTGGGGCTGGGCAGAAGCCAGAATCTCCATTTGGGTCTCCTACATGGGTGTCAGCATCATCAAATATTTAGGCCATCCACCACTGCTGCTTTCCCATGTGCATTAGCAGGTAGCTGGATGGGAAGTGGAGCAGCCAGGACTTGAAACCAGAGCCTACTTGGGATGACGGCCTGGCAGGCGGTGCCTTAATGCGCTGTACCTGAGCGTCGGCCAAAAGCCCTGCGTGAGTGAGAACTGGGATCCTGGGGTGCCACACCTCCATGTCCAGTAAGATGGAAGGCTTTCTTGCTCATGTTTGAAGTTTTCAGAGACTTGGGACGGTGCTGTGTGGTCGGAGACCCAGGCTCTCCCCTGGCAAACTGCACACCTCTGCTTCCCAAGGTTATTTAGGGCTCCAGACTGGCCACTCCATGCCAGCATGGGGGCAGGGGGCAGGGAGGAGTCCTTCCTGGAAGTCGGTCACTCGATTCTTTTGTGTTACCTCATGTGACAGAGAAGAGTCGCAGCCACACTGAGCTCCCGGGAGGAAGCACTGTCCTTCCGCCAGGTGTCCCCGCGGCTGGCGAAGCGCCACCTGGGCTGTTGGACATATGTTTTCAGGAATGAATTGTCATTTAATTGTTTAAAGATGTATTTCTTTTCATTGGAAAGGCAGGCTTTCCAGAGAGAAAAGGAGAGAGAGAAAGAGATCTTTCATCTGCTGGTTCACTCCTCAAATGGCTGTACTTGCCAGAGCTGAGCAGATCCAAAAGCAGGAGCCAGGAGCCTCTTCCGGGTCTCCCCATGTGGGTGCAGGGTCCCAAGGCTTTGGGCCATCCTCGACTGCTTTCCCAGACCATAAGCAGGAAGTTGGATGGGAAGTGGAGCAACTGGGACAGAAATTGACTCCCATATGGGATGCTGGTGCTTGGAGACGATTAGCCAATTGAACTTTCTATCTTTCTTCCCTCCCTCCCTCTCTCCATCCCTCCCTCCCTCCTTCCATTCCTTCCTTCCTTCTTTTGTTCCTTCCATCCATCCATCCATCCATCCATCAGAAGATACAGGGAGAGAGACTGGGACAGATTTTTCTACCTGCTCATTCACTCTCTAAATGCTCGCAGCAGCCAGGCCTGGACCAAGCTGAAGCCAGGATCCCAGAGATCAATCCAGGTCTCCCATATGGGTTGCCGGGACCCCACTATAAACATGAACCCTCACCTGCTGCCTCCCAGGGTGCAGGTTAGCTGGAATCAACAGGCACAGCTGGCCCCGGGTGCTCTGCTAACAGATGTGCGATCTAAATGTTGGGATGCCAACTTCCAGTAGGATCTTTCTCTCTGCATGTCTTAAATGTCCTCATTGTGGTAAGGTATAAATTTCCACGATCACCATTTGTCAAGCACACGCCTCAGTGCCACGGGTTGGTCGTGCTGCGCGACTGTCCCCATCAGCCCGCCCAGGACCACTCATCTTCCCCCCACTGAGCATGGCTCCCCCGCCCCCACACTCCTGGCCACTGCTGTTCCCCCTCTTGGATTTTTCTCAAACAGCTACCTGGAATCTAACCAATCCCCTCCTTTGTTGACTGGCTTTTTTTTTCTTCCCCAACATTCCTCTGTTTTATGTTTGGGACAGATTCCCTTCCTTAGGGGGTCTTGAGACTGGAGCATGCTGCCCTGTGGGTGGGGACCTTGCGCCTGAGTGACCTGAGTCACGGGAGCGCTCTGAGCAGGGGAGGCGGAGACCTGCCTCGGGTGTTCCCGCTGTGGTTTTCGGGTCAGAGGTTGGAGTGGTGGAAACGCAGGTGGGAAAAACAACAACAACAAAATAAAACAAATTTAAAAAATAAATAAAAGGAAACGCAGGTAGGTTCTGGAGCTGTGTGGCGGTGGAGCCAGCAGGTGTCGCTATTGACGTGCGACGCGACGCGAGGACGCTAGAATCGGGGACTCAGCCGAAGTACCCGGGCCTGGAAAGGGAATGGAGAAGGCTGGTCAGGGCTCCAGTGCGGGTTTGGGATGAGCCTAGGTTTCCACTCAGGGCACAAGGGTTTCCAGTGATCCTTTCTCCCACCTCTCTCTTCTCCCAGGCTACGGGTACACGACGCCACTGACCGACGCGGGCAAAGCCTTCTCCATCGCCTTCGCGCTGCTGGGCGTTCCCACCACCATGCTGCTGCTGACCGCCTCGGCCCAGCGCCTGTCCCTGCTGCTCACTCACAAGCCCGTGTCGTGGCTGAGGACGCGCTGGGGCTGGGAGCCCCGGCGGGCGGCCCGCTGGCACTTGGTGGCCCTGCTGGGGGTCATCCTAGCCGTCTGTTTCCTGTTGCCCGCGGCCATCTTCGCCTACCTGGAGGAAGCCTGGAGCTTCCTGGACGCTTTCTACTTCTGCTTCATCTCCTTGTCCACCATCGGCCTGGGTGACTACGTGCCGGGGGAGGCCCCAGGCCAGCCCTACCGGGCCCTCTACAAGATACTGGTCACAGGTGAGCTGGGGTGGGGGTGAGCAGGCTACAGTTCCATCACAGGGGGCAGGACAGGGGAATTGAAGGAACCCAGGCCGGGGTGGGGTAAGGTGGGGTGGCAGGTGGCAGCCCTCAGCCCACTGCCGCACCCTCTTCCCAGTCTACCTCTTCCTGGGCCTGGTCTTCATGGTGCTGGTACTACAGACCTTCCGCCGCGTGTCCGACCTGCACGGCCTCACCGAGCTCATCCTGCTGCCCGCCCTGAGCCCCGCCACCCTCAGTGAGGACCAGGACGATCAGGTGGACATCCTGAACCACGCACCAGAGCCACAGCAGCAACTCTCTGCCGGTGCCCACGTCGACTATGCCTCCATCCCCAGGTAGTCCCTGGGAGGGCAGGCACCAGTTCGGAGGCTGGCTGGCTGGCTGGCTGGCTGGGCCCGACTCCGGGGCGACCAGGGAGAGTTCGTCTGGCCCATGGCACACAGATGCATGCCAGCCCTGGCCGCAGCTGGCTGTCCTTGCTCGTCAGCTCAAGGGGTGGGCGCTCTGTCTTGGGGCAGCGACTTGACCTTGTTCTGCTCCCTGCTCATTTCCCTCACACTCCGTGCCCCTGCCTCCACTCTTACTGTCTTCCTGCCTCGGTTTTCCATTCTCACGGGTTCCGTCCGCCTCACCTGCGAGCCACAGCTGCCAGTTCTGTGTCCCTGTCCCCTCCACCGCTTCCTCTCTGAGCGCTCTCCCGTCTTCAGCTATCAGATGGCAAGAATACATTCGCTCATTCAGAAATTCTGCACCCCCCTTCCCAGTGCGGGGTGGTGCTGGAGGCACAGGGGAGTGGGAAGAGAGGTGACGGAGGCAACTGCGCTCTCACCGGGCACGAAGTCCAGTGGGTGACGGCCACAGGCTTGTCTCCTGGCAGCGGTGGCCCCACACGGGCGGGATTGCAGCAGGAGGTTAGGCGTGCCAAGGAGAAGGCATACAGGTGGATGGTCAGGGCTGAGAGGAGGGAAGCACAGGGCAGGTGTTCAGTCCCGTTTGGAAGGTCTGGGAGGGCTTCTTGGAGGAAGAGGCAACCTAGATCTGAAAGAGGATTTGCAGGAGAAGTCATATCTAACTGCCTTTTCTCAGGTGTCACCAGGGAACAGGGCCTCCAACAGGACTGGGGGGACAGACTTTGTCTCAGTAGTCCTGGCAGGTGCGAGCCGACAGAGCATTCCAGCCCAGATCCGCTTGGTGTGGAAGGCACAGCTCTTAGTGTTCCAGTGGTGTCCCGGTTCCAGAGCGTGCAGCACTGGGCATCCATCTCAGCATTATCCTGTCTGCTGATGGCCTTGGGCAGGACTCTCTGTGACTGTCACCTTCAGGAGGCAGAGCCCGAGAGCGCCGTGCCCCCACCACTGTCCCGCAATGCTTGCCCTGTGCAGTCCTGCCCTGTGAGGAGGATGGGATGGATCTCACTCTTCCCACAGGTGGGGAAACTGAGGCAGGGCGGGGAGCTCCCTCGTCTTAGCCACGGGGGCTGGGAGGGGTTTGAGTTTAGGTTTAGTGCCCCCAAGATCTGTCCCCTCCCGAGATGCCCCCCTGTGCCTGGGGCCCGTGTGTGAGCGTTCTCTCTCTAGCACTTCCTGTGGATGTGACAACAGTGCTGGGCTGGGAGCTGGACCATGACAGAGGCAGGTAGAGAAGGCTTTGGGGGAAGGAAGCTGGGCAACAGCCCGGAGGTGGACCAAGGCTCACCGTGACCAAGCAGCATGGGAGGGGGAGAAGGAGCAGAGAGATGACGCCTCTGTGTCTTTGAAGGGTGGGCTGGCAAGCCTGAGTAGGGGGTCGTGGAGAAGAGACCCCTGCTGCTGTGCAGGGTGAACCCCACGGAGATGCAGGTGCCTATGGGAGTGCAGATAGGAAGAGAGCAGGGGAGGATGGATGGCTGGGCAGAGCTGTGTGAGGAGGTGAGAGCGGGTGCTCGCAGCCTGCGGAGGGGCAAGGCCAAGGCAAGTCCAAGGGGAGGGTTGATAGTCCCCCAGATGGGGACTTGGAGAGAGAAGGGGTTGGCGGGGAGAAGCCGAGGCTGGTTTAGAATATGGGGATGTGAGGAGCCAAGAGGGGAGGCAGCGGGACCTGCAGGACTGGGGCATGGTGGGCTGGGCAGGAGGGCAGACAAGGGGTGCAGGAGTGGAGGGTGTCATCCACACAAATATTCCAAAGTCCAAACAACTCGGAAACCAGGAAAACTTCCAGTTGCCAGCCCTTCGGCAAGGGACCCTCATCCTACAGGGTTTACCGTGTGCTGGGCATGGAGCCAAGCCCTCGGCGCCTTTGGCCCATGCAGCAGCCTGCCATCCTTCGTTGCGAGTCTGTAGGCGAGGAGAGGAGGCCCAGAGAGGCTGGGTAACCTCCCCAAGGCCACACAGAGAAAGACAGACCCAGGATTTGAATAAGGTCTCGGTTGGTCACATCTGTCCGCAGGGGCGGGGGGTGCCCAGCTGTATCTGCCATCTGGCTCCCAGCTCCTCGCCTGCTCTGCCCAGCTCCATGCCAGGGTCATGGCTTACCTTGTTGCTGACATCATCACGGGCCACCAAGGCCGGATCTCTTGCCTTCTCCCAGCCAGCTGCCTTCCACACCTCCTGCTGCTCCTTCTGAGTTCCGCAACAGAAGGAAACCAAGTTCTTTTCAGTTCAAGACGGGAAAAAAGTTTTAATAAGCATACAGGCTTAAAGAAAAACCAAAACAGGTGCAAAAAAGGTGCCATGGAAAGCGGGCCTTGGCCGTCCACCCACATAGCCGCTTTTCCAGGCCACCGCTGAGGCCCATCCTGACATGCAGCAGCTTCATGCATAGACCCTTCTCACGCGTGGCACCTGCACTGGGAAGGTGGTGAAGACAGGACTCTGGAGGCGGAGTCTCCAGGAACAAGTCTGAATGGTTACTCCTCAGTTTCAGGGCTTTGGGCAAGTGTGTTTTCTTCCCCAGGCCTCAGTTTGCCGGTTTGTGGAATGGGAGGATAACAGGCTACCTCATGGGCAAGCGAGGAACTAAATCCTAGATGGCCTGTAACGCCATGTCTGGCACACACAGTCGAGGGTAGGCTGACGATTCTCATTTCTGTACTTCGCTTCTTAATCTATAAATTAGATCCCCATAACCATTGGTCTGTTTGTATACTTTTAATTCTCATTTCTGTACGTTATCTTTCCCACCAACACAGGGAAATGAAAAAAAATTTTTTTTTGAGCTATAGTTAAGCCATATATTTATTTATTTAAGATTTATTTAATTTTTGTTGGAAAGTCAGATTTACAGAGAAAGGGAGAGACAGAAAGGAAGATCTTCATCTGTTGATTTATTCCCCACCTGGCTGCAATGACTGGAGCTGAGTCAATCCAAAGCCAGGAGCCAAGAACTTCTTCCGGGTCTCCCACATGGGTGCAGGGTTCCAAGACTTTGGGCCATCCTTGACTGCTTTCCTAGGCTGCAAGCAGGGAGCTGGATGGGAAGTGGAGCTGCCGGGATTAGAACTGGAGCCTATCTGGGATCCTAGCAGGTTCAACGTGAGGACTTTAGCCGCTAGACCACTGTGCCAGGCCCTTACATATTTTTTAATAGTTTTTTTTTTTTTATTTGAAAGAAATATTTACAGAAACGAGAGACAGAGAGAGAACAGCCAGAGCTGAGGTGATCGAGCTAGGAGTTTCTTCTGAGCTCCGCGTGTAGGTGCCGGGTCCCAAGGCTTTGGGCCGTCCTCAACTGCTTTCCAGGCCACAAGCAGGGAGCTGGATGGGAAGTGGAGCAGTCGGGACACAAACTGGCATCTGTGTGCAATACCTGGGGCTGAGCAGGCCAAACCTAGGAATCTGAAAATCTTGTTGGGTTTCCCACAATGGGTGGCAGGTACCTGATAACTGGGTCATCACCTACTGCCTCCTAGGGTTGGAATTAGCAGGGAGCTGGTAACAGGTGTGGCACCCGGTGCAGCGGCGTTTTTCACACTGACTCTGGTAAACTTGGACTCGGGTACAGGCTGCTGAGGAGTTCCTTCCCTCAGATGAAGTTCTGCCTCTCTGGCCTGTGGGGCATGGCGTGGCAATGGAGGGTTCCTTGACACAGGAACACCCGTTCTGTGCCATGCAGGACAGGGCTGGTGCTCTCGAGAGCGGAAATGGGATGGGGGTCTCAGAGGGGACACCTGAAGGAAGGAAGGTGGCCAGCTGGTGTCACTGTGATGTGTCTGGAGGAAGGAGATGAGCCTGTGGGTTGTCAGGGAGGAGCTGGAAGTCAGCTGGGGGTCCTGGGGCATCCTGCAAGGTTGTGGAGTTCTCATTCTCCAGGTGCTGGGGGGTGAGGGGCGGGGCCTGCTAGAAGACACATCCTCAGGCCACTCCCCCGTTCTCCCTAATCAAGCACTGGGGGAGCGGGAGGAGAGGCATTTCAATTAGTCTCTCCGGGGAGTCTATTGCACATCCCAGTTTGACAACTGCTTTGCAGTTCGTGCATAAGTCATGGGTGGCACCAAGGTGCTGTGCAAACATGGTGGTGGCTAGCACAGGCTGGTGAGGCAGTCTCCGGCCATAAGGTGTCATGTGCAGTGGCGGTGGCACCAGCCACATGCAACTAACTTCCTGAGCCAGAGGGCAGGTGAAGGCCAGGCACCAGGCAGGCAAAGGGCACGGGGAGCTGACCCTGGGGGACAGCGACAGGGGGTGGGAGTTTCCATTACAGGGAAGCAGCCCATGACTTTGTCCTGCCCAAGGGCTGTGGGAACCGCGGGAGCCCAAAGATGGGCTCAACTTTGGTTAAAACTTAACTTTCTGGGTACTCAGAAACTCTGAGTTGGTCACGGTCACTTCTACACGCGCAGAAAACCTTGGTAATGGTGGTGGTGGTTGGAGGGGGATTATGCAGGAAAGGGTGAATGGTAATAGGAAAAGTTTAATGTCAAGAACAGCTGGCGCAGCTGGTGGGCTCCGTCTCAGTGAAAGGCATCTTTCAGTGGGGGAAAAGAAGCGTAAAGCCTGAGGCAGCAGATGGAACTGCAACACGTTCCATCTAAACAGTGGAATTGACTCACGAGCAACAGCTTAACCCACAGACCCGAGGGAGCGCTCCGCTGAGCAGGGTGGAAGGAGCTGGTTCAGTTCAGGCCATTGCCTTAGCAGCTCCCACAGGGGCTGGCTTGGGGCCTTGGCTTTCCCGTCCTCCTCGCACCTGGTGCAGGAGCTCGGCCTATCGACAACAGTTAACAGCCCTTCCCAGGGACAGGCACTGAACACAAACAGAAACTGTTAGCTCAACAAACATTCGTGCCAGGCACAGCGCTGCTTGCTTTTCTTCGTGTGTCCTTCTAGGGACAAGATGCCTGCCCTTGGCCACTGCAGAGGACAGACAGCAGGCAGCTTCCTCCACCACCTTCCAGGTCCCTAGGAGACCACACTGGGCTTTCAGCACTAGACTTCTTCTTTAAAGATTTATTTTTATTGCAAAGTCAGATATACAGAGGAGAGACAGAGAGGAAGATCTTCCATCTGCTGATTCAGTCCCTACGTGGCCACTACGACTGGAGCTGAGCCGATCCTAAGCCAGGAGCTAGCAGCAGCTTCTAGAATTCCCTCACGGCTGCAGGGTTCCAAGGCCGTCCTCCACTGCTTTCTCAGGCTCCAAGCAGGGAGCTGGAGGAACAGTGAAGCAGCTGGGAC